TGTGTGTTACACTCTGGGTCTCTGTGTTACACTCTGGGTCTGTGTGTGTGTGTTACACACTGGGTCTCTATGTGTGTTACACTCTGGGTCTGTGTGTGTGTGTTACACTCTGTGTCTATGTGTGTGTTACACTCTGCTGTCTATGTGTGTGTTACACTCTGGGTCTATGTGTGTGTTACACTCTGGGTCTCTGTGTGTTACACTCTGGGTCTGTGTGTGTGTGTTACACTCTGGTCTCTGTGTGTGTTACACTCTGGGTCTGTGTGTGTGTGTTACACTCTGGGTCTGTGTTTGTGTGTGTTACACTCTGGGTCTATGTGTTATGCTCTGGGTGTGTGTGTGTGTGTGTTACGCTCTGGGTCTGTGCGTGTGTGTGTTACGCTTTGGGACGGTGTATGTGCGTTATGCTGTGTGTCTCTGTGTGTGTTACACTCTGCGTCTGTGTGTGTGTTACACTCAGGGTCCTTGCGTGTGTTACACGCTGGGTTTGTGTGTGTCACACTCTGGGTCTATGTGTATGTTACTCTATGAGTCTGTGTGTGTGTTACTCTCTAGGTCTGTGTGTGTTTTACACTCTGGGTCTCTGTATGTTACACTGTGTGTCTGTGTGTGTGTCGCACTCTGGGTCTGTGTGTGTGTTACACTCTGGGTCTGTGTGTGTGTTACACTCTGGGTCTGTGTGTGTGTTACACTCTGGGTCTGTGTGTGTGTGTGTTTGTGTATGTTTGGTCATTCAGAACTCTGCAGCTCGTGTACTGTCCCGCACCAGGCTTCGGGACCACATCACTCCCACCCTCGCTCACCTCCACTGGCTCCCCATCCCCCAGAGGATTGATTTCAAGATCCTCATCCTCACCTACAAGGCCATTCACGGCCTTGCTCCCTCCTACCTCTCCAACCTACTATCCCCCTACCTACCTGCCCATACCCTCCGTTCCTCTGGCGCCGGTCTGCTCCACGTCCCCCGCCCCAACTGCCCTACCATCGGTGACCGGGCCTTCAGCCTCTCAGCCCCCGAGGCTCTGGAACTCCATCCCCCAGTGCCTTCGCCTTGCTTCCTCCCTTTCCTCCTTCAAGGCCGGTCTCAAAACCTTTCTCTTTGACCGAGCCTTCAGCTCCCCTCTCGACTCTCTTCCCCCTCCTCGCTCCCTACACAAACACACAGACCCAGAGTGTAACACACACACAGAGCCAGAGTGTAACACACACACAGACCCAGAGTGTAACACACACAGACCCAGAGTGTAACACACACACACAACCCAGAGTGTAACACACACACACAGACCCAGAGTGTAACACACACACAGACCCAGAGTGTAACACACACACAGCCCCAGAGTGTAACACACACACAGACCCAGAGTGTAACACACACACACAGACCCAAAGTGTAACAGACACATAGACACAGAGTGTAAGACACACATAGATGCAGAGTGTAACACACACACACACAGACCCAGAACACGCACACACACACAGACCCAGAGTGTAACACACATAGAGACCCAGAGTGTGACACACACATAGACGCAGAGTGTAACACACACATAGATGCAGAGTACAACACACACATAGACACAGAGTGAAAGACACACAAACACAGACCCAGAGTGTAACAAACAAACACAGACCCAGAATGTAACACAAATACACAGTCCTAGGGTATAACACAAACACACAGACCCAGAGTGTAACACACACACACACAGACCCAGAGTGTAACACACACACAGACCCAGAGTGTAACACACACACACAGACCCAGAGTGTAATACACACACACAGACCCAGAGTGTAACACAAACACAGACCCAGAGTGTAACACACACACACACAGACCCAGAGTGTAACACAACACACAGACCCAGAGTGTAACACACAGACACACACAGACCCAGAGTGTAACACACACACACACACACAGACACAGAGTGGAACACAACACACACAGACACGGAGTGTAACACACACACACAGACCCAGAGTGTAATACACACACACACAGACCCAGAGTGTACACACACACACAGACCCAGAGTGTAACACACACACACACAGACCCAGAGTGTAACACACACACACACACACAGACCCAGAGTGTAACACACACACACACAGACCCAGAGTGTAACACACACACACACACAGACCAGAGTGTAACACACACACACACAAGACCAGAGTGTAACACAACACACACACACAGACCCAGAGTGTAACACACACACAAACACACAGACCCAGAGTGTAACACACACACACACACACAGACCCAGAGTGTAACACACACACACACACAGACCAGAGTGTAACACACACACACAGACCCAGAGTGTAACACAACACACAGACCCAGAGTGTAACACACACACACAGACCCAGAGTGTAACACAAACACAGACCCAGAGTGTAACACACAGACACACACAGACCCAGAGTGTACACACACACACACACACACACACAGACACAGAGTGGAACACACACACACACAGACACACACACACACACAGACCCAGAGTGTAACACAAACACAGACCCAGAGTGTAACACACAGACAGACACAGAGTGTAATACACACACACACAGACCCGGAGTGTAACACACACACAGACCCGGAGTGTAACACACACACACACACACACACTGACAGGCGTTCTCTGTTGCTGGTGACTGTTTATGGAAAGAAACGGCGAGGAAAGAAGAGAGGAGAGAGAGTGAGTGAGAGGGAGAGAGAGAGGGAGAAACGGTGAGTGCGTTTAGCGCCTCAGGACGCCGCCCCCTCCCTGACACCTGCCATCAGCGGCGCGCGCACCCCCCCGCAGCGGCGCGCGCACCCCCCCCCCCGCAGGGGCGCGCGCACCCTCCCCTCCCGCAGGTGGCGCGCACCCCCCACCCCCCCCCCCCCCACCGTGGCGCGCGCTCCCCACCACCCCCACCCCGCAGTGGCGCGCGCATCCCCCCCCTCCCGCAGGTGGCGCGCGCGCGCCCCCTCTCCCCTCCATCAGCGGCGCGGGCAGCCAACAGCTCGAGCACAGAGAGAGAGAGAGGGAAAGGGGTGAGAGAGACAGAGTGTGTGTGTGTGTGTGTGTGTGAGAGAGAGAGAGGAGAGACCCCACAGAGAGAGAGAGAGTGTGAGTGAGTGAGTGTGAGAGGAGAGAGAGAGAGAGTGTGAGTGAGTGAGTGAGTGAGTGTGAGGAGAGAGTGTGAGAGGAGAGAGTGTGTGAGTGTGTGAGTGAGAGGAGAGAGTGTGAGAGAGTGAGTGAGAGGAGAGAGTGAGCGAGAGAGTGAGTGAGAGGAGAGAGTGAGCGAGAGAGTGAGTGAGAGGAGAGAGTGTGAGAGGAGAGAGTGAGTGAGTGAGTGTGAGAGGAGAGAGTGTGTGAGAGTGTGTGAGAGAGTGAGTGAGTGGAGAGAGAGAGAGTGAGTGACAAGGGACTGAGTGACAGAATCCCCTGTGGCGACAGACACCAATCCCCGGAGAGAGAGGGAGAGAGACAGAGAGGGAGAGAGAGAGAGAGAGAGAGCGGGTAAGAGAGACACAGCCCCGGAGAGGGTAAGAGACTCACTCACTCACTCACTGACTGCTCAACATGTTGGTTATTTATTCCGTTATTTATTTTCACTGACCGGCAGGTAACTGCCCGCTCGGGCAGTGTAGTGACGAGCTGACATATTGACTGAGTGACAAGGTTACCGACTGACTGGCACTGGCACACTGGCACTGGCACTGACTGACTGGCACTGGCTGACTGGCACTGACTGGCACTGGCTGACTGACCGGGTTGTCCAGCTCTTGCTCTGAGGTGATTTTATGCCGCGCTTTTGCTGGTGTCGTGCGTTTCACCGTCGGAAACTTCCCGCGCTTCAACCACCGAGAAACTCTCCTCGAGGTCCCTCACCACCACCTCCACCGCCGCCCTAACCAAGTCCCCCCCTCACCACCACCCTAACTACCACCCTAACCAAGTCCCCCCCTCACCACCACCCTAACCACCGCCCTACCACCACCCTAACCAAGTCCCCCCCCCCCCCCCCTCACCACCACCCTAACCACCACCCTAACCAAGTCCCCCCCCACCACCACCCTAACCACCACCCTAACCAAGTCCCCCCCTCACCACCACCCTAACCACCACCCTAACCAAGTCCCCCCTCACCACCACCCTAACCTCCGCCCTAACCACCACCCTAACCAAGTCCCCCCTCACCACCACCCTAACCACCACCCTAACCAAGTCGTCCCCCCCCCCACCACCCTAACCAAGTCCCCCCTCACCACCACCACCACCCCCCCTAACCAAGTCCCCCTCACCACCACCCTAACTACCACCCTAACCAAGTCCCCCCCCACCACCACCCTAACTACCACCCTAACCAAGTCCCCCCCCACCACCACCCTAACCACCCCCTAACCACCACCCTAACCAAGTCCCCCCCCCCCCCCCCCTCACCACCCACTCTTAACCACCACCCTAACCAGGTCCCCCCCACCACCACCCTAACCACCACCCTAACCAGGTCCCCCCCTCACCACCACCCTAACCACCACCCTAACCAGGTCCCCCCTCACCACCACCCTAACCACCACCCTAACCAAGTCCCCCCCGCCCCCCACCACCCTAACCACCACCCTAACCAAGTCCCCCCGCCCCCCACCACCCTAACCACCACCCTAACCAAGTCCCCCCCGCCCCCCACCACCCTAACCAAGTCCCCCACTACCACCACCACCCTAACCAAGTCCCCCCCCCACCACCCTAACCAAGTCCCCCACTACCACCCTAACCAAGTCCCTCACCACCACCACCACCCTAACTTAGTCCCTCACCACCACCACCACCCTAACATAGTCCCTCACCATCCCCATCACTCTATCCGACTCCTTCACCATCACCCTAACCGAGTCCCTCGCCATCACCCTAACCGAGTCCCTCGCCATCACCCTAACCGAGTCCCTCGCCATCACCCTAACCGAGTCCCTCTCCATCACCCTAACCGAGTCCCTCGCCATCACCCTAACCGAGTCCCTCGCCATCACCCTAACCGAGTCCCTCGCCATCACCCTAACCGAGTCCCTCGCCATCACCCTAACCGAGTCCCTCGCCATCACCCTAACCGAGTCCCTCGCCATCACCCTAACCGAGTCCCTCGCCATCACCCTAACCGAGTCCCTCGCCATCCCCCTAACCGAGTCCCCCCATCACCCTAACCGAGTCCCTCTCCATCACCCTAACCGAGTCCCTCTCCATCACCCTAACCGAGTCCCTCGCCATCACCCTAACCGAGTCCCTCGCCATCACCCTAACCGAGTCCCTCGCCATCACCCTAACCAAGTCCTTCATATTCAACCGGGTTCCCCACCTTGACTGGATTTCTCTCTCTCTCTCCCTCTCTCTCTCTCTGTAATTGGCGCTCAAGTGAGAGAGGTTGGTGTAAGGTGTGAGATGCTGACAGGAATGTTTTTTTTCCGGCAGGGCTTCAGTGTAGGGGAGGTGGGGTACCTTTAAGACACAGCAGTAGCGTTTTACCACAGGTTTTCGTTCTGTTGTGTAGTGGAAAGAAAAGCTTCTAAGCCTTATAAGACCAAAGCTGCGTTACTTTGCTACCAACCTGGCTCAGTCAGTAGCACTCTGGCCTCCTGAGTCAAAGTTTGTGGGTTCAAGCTCCATGTCAGGACGTTGAACTGGGCCAGTGGTTGCTAAACCCTTTACTTGGCCAACCAAGTCAATGTTTCTTGATTGAATATTTCTTGATTTGTGGCACAATTCTATTCTGTGAGGGACAGCCCCGAAAGTAATGCCACCTTTCTATTTTCTCAATGTTCTTTCATTTGTTAACTTGCAAGACTTAATATAGACACACAATAAGCTTTTTGAATACATAGTTACAGTAATTTTTCTACAGTCGCCATCATGATCTGCACACTTGCGCCAATGTGGAACCAATGGCAGTATGCTTTTAGGGTAAAATGATGTGCATGTGACCTTTCTGGTTTCCTTGCAAAACACGGCTAACATTGGTGGAACCCACAGAGCACAAACGTTAGAGTAACCAAAGGTTACCAATAATTATCTCTATGGCATGATGACCAATACGAAAACTCTCACTCAACTCACACTCAACTTTTAAGACCTATCTTTAAGAACTTGAAAGTTTAGTTTCTCCACTTTTCGTACAATTTACCTAAGTCTTGCAGTATTCACATCAACACATAACTGTCCATACAATTTCATCGTGCAATTGTGAATCTCATTCGGCAAAATCCCCCACAAATGTGAGAAATTCAATTACTGCTCTCTGCTTAACGAGCGGATCAACGCGAGGAACTGCTGTCCTGTGCCTCCACCTAGTTAAAAGTATCTTGAGTATGTCTTTTTATTACTGTACCACTTACCACTCTTTACAAAATAAATAGGAGGCATTACTATTGGTTTGTCCCTCGTATTTTGTGATATCTATGATTATTTTGTTGGCCAAGGTTGGCCACCACTGGTCTAGGCTGACACTCAATTGCTGGTCTGGGAATGCGCTTCAGTGCTGGGGTTGCCCAATCCTTCAGATGAGAAGTTAAATCGAGGTTCTGTCTGCCTATTCACGTGTACACTAAAGATCCCATGACGCGACTTGAAAAGAGAAGGGAGTTTCTCTTGATCTCCTCGCCAACGATTCCCCAAATGAGAGAGAGGATGGTAGAGTGGGTGTTCTGGAAGGATGACATGAGAATCTGATCTGGTTAGAGATCAGAATGGCTGCCTTCATCCATACTGATCTTGTGAAATAAAATAGGTCACTCACTTTATTTAGGGTCTTTGTGGAATATTGCTATGTGCAAATTGTCTGCCCACATTCACCTACAGAATACAGTCACTACACTTTACAATAAATCCAGTGAAGCCTTTGAGACATCCTCCCTATGTGAAAGGCGCTATATTAATTGTAAGGATTATTATTATTTAATTACAACAGTCCTTTGTTTTGTTTCCTATAAATTAACTGGATTATCAATTAATTTGTGATTTCATACATAACTGAATTACTAACTCATTTTGTGAGATGTTGTGAGATGTCTTCGGTAAAATGAGGCACAATCATATTTTATTTTACCTTATAATCCTTTTGTCCTCAGCATGGATATACCAAGAATGTGGCACTGACAGTACGTCTGCCATCACTTGTGAGTAGCAAAACAAAACCTTGATCCAAAGCAGTATATATGCTACCTGGTAGTGATTACGAAAGTGAAATCCTATCCTGGTGATCATGTAATTTAGTAATGTATTTTGTAGTAATGGTAACCACAAAGCACTGATAAATTTCACAATACTTATCCAGCTAATTGGCTTCACCGAGTTGAAGATATTCCTTTTTCCACAATTTACATAGCACCTTTCACCTTTAAAGGAATGTCTAAAAGTGGCAGTGGTTTTGGAATAGAGTTCCAGTGGACAGGAGATCAAATTTATAGGCTTGGCCACTAATGGTTTAGCAGAGGGAATGGTCAGAAGGATGGAAGTTATGGACTGGAATATAGGGCAAGCGATTACAATGATAAAATGGGGGAAGACTGTGAAGGGCTTTAAGAATCAGGACAAGGAAAGGCTAATTGGATTCAACTGGATGTGAAGTTGTTTCTAAACCACTTGTAGTTCATACTTGTTGGTTAACATCTGAATTCTGAGATACCTGATTGCCTCAGGAATCTTGTTCAAATGGCTATTCGTGTATGAGCTGAGAAGCAAACATCAGTTAGTTATTTGACCAAGGGAGGGCAGACATCCAACTCTATCTTTAGCCAATGGGTGCTTTCAAGCCAGGTTTGCTGGATTGCAATCAGGATTTGGAGTCCGAGCTTTGATTCTTCCACTCTATCCCCTTTATTAGTTAAAGGTGCTTTTGTCATCTTAATTGAGATGAAATAATTCATCATTGATCAGATGGAAATTTCCAGTTGTAGGTAGTCCATTGTATACTGAGTCATTGAGCAGAAGTCTTTACTCTCCTGAAAACGTGCTGAGATTGGTAACTTATTTATGAAATGCTTCTGATGTGATATTGAACCATACAGATCAGGAAGAACACAAAAATCGATCCCATCTGTTATTCCTGACGAGCACTAATTTGGCTGGTTTCAGCCAGGATTGTGGTTACTGTCCTGTGAAGATCCTCCCACCATTACTGAAAGCAGATGTCTGCAGATAGTTGATGAGAAAACTCTGAGGCTTGGGACGACAGCTGCTGCAAGGCACTACTTGGAGTCAAGGTTTGGGAATGCACCATCATATATCCAGGGCTTAGTATCCACCTTGATTAGTATGCAGAGAGGTAAGCAATCCACGACTGTTTGTGGGAGACTACTGCGCGCAATTGGCTGCTGTGTTTCACCCACAAAATGCATGGTCAATCCACTTTACAGTATGTCCTGTGAAGCTCTTTGAGACGTCTCAAAGACGTGATGAAGTGCTATATCAAATGCAAGTATTATTCGTATATATTATAAGCAGGTACCGCTCAAACTCTGTATTTCCAACTATTAGAACCATCACTTAATTGGTAGGCATGTGTGTCCACGCTGTGGGCAGGAGGATGGTGACAATGTGGAGTCCTGTAGCTCAGTGGTTAGAGCACTCGCTTTGCAAGCGAGAGACCTGAGTTCAATTCCAGTCAGGGCGAAACCTTGGGCAAGTTTCCTTACTCCACACAGAGCCTAATAATAATCCCTCCAAAACCAAAAACAATAATAAATTGGCCATTTTCAATCCATGACTGTTTGTGGGACATTGCTGTGCGCAATTGGCTGCCGCGTTCGCCCACAAATATACAGTCAATTCACTTTACAGTGTGTTCTGTGAAGCGCTTTGGGACGTCCTCCTGACGTGAAAAGCGCTATATCAAATGCAAGGATTATTATAGGATTATTATTTTTAATGCTCTCACACATTTCATGCTGAACCTTGCTGATCACTAGGGAGCCCCTGGACCTATTGTCGAACTAGTGAGGGTTCAAACCACTTGTTGGATGTCGAATGACCAACTAATGATCATTCTCCTTAGGGGTGAACTGAGATTCCTTGGGGCTGAGCTGACTCCGGGTAATGTGCTTGGCAACGGAATGCTGGAATGGAGTTAACTCTTTGTTAATCTTGAATTTATAATGAAATCACTTATCGCCCCAACTTCAGCATCCATTTTTTTTAAAAATGGAACAGCGAAAACAAAGACCAGTTTGTCTGCTCTGTAATGTGCAGAGCAGTACATAGACTAAAATTCAAAGTTGAAATTGCATTTGCTATTACCAGCGCGGTTCAATGCATGCATCTATAAAATGAGCGAAAATGCTAAAAAGCAACATTGTTTTGTTGAGTAGGCTTTCCAATGGTACCATTGTTTGCTTCTAGTATGCATGATTCAGGAGAAATTTTGAAGAATCTGATTCAAAATAAAAATGTTTTGCATTTTTATCATATTTGATTAATTGTTTTAATTTTTTTATATAATGGATTTGCTTTCTTGGTCCTGTATTGCATTGGGGTGGGTTATATGAACATTCATTTTTATAGTCTTAAAAATACTGTGCTCGTTAGCAAGATGTCTATAATATTGGTTTGAATATTGTCTTAGGTTGTACATAAAGGGAATAGAGTGCAAAAGAAGAAAGGAATAGGAGGGATAAGAGTTCAGGTGGAGGATACACTGATACGCAGTGGTTGGGCCGGATGGTGTATTTCCGTTCCGTTTCACTCTATAATATTATATAATGGAGTCCTGTATCTCAGTGGTTAGAGCACTCGCCTCGCAAGTAAGAGACCTGTGTTCCATTCCCAGCAGAGCGAAATGTTGGGCACGTTTCCTTACTGCACATCCTCTATTTACCCAGCAGTAAGTAGGAACCCGGATGTTAGTTGATTGCTGGATCGCTTTTCCGGGGGTAATAGTTCTTTCAAAAATATTGGTCACTCAATCCACGACTGTTTGTGGTACACTGCTGTGCGCAATTGGCTACTGCGTTTCGTCCACAAAATACACAGTCAATCCACTTTACAGTATTATCCTGTGAAGCGCTTTGAGATGTGTCAAAGACGCGATAAGGCACTTTATCAAATGCAAGAATTAATGTGATATACTTGCGTTTATTTTGGCTTTTGGTTTTTGGATTACTTAACGATATTAAATACAGTGCCGATGGGATCCAAGGGTGAAACTTTTCTTTAATATACACGCCTGATAATAATCCCTCAAGAAAAAAAACAGTAATAAATTGGTCACTTCAATCCACGACTGTTTGTGGGACACTGCTGTGCACAATTGGCTGCTGCATTTCACCCACAAATATACAGTCAATTCACTTTACAGTCTATTCTGTGAAACGCTTTGAGATTTCTAGAAGACGTGAAAAGCGCTATATCAAATGCAAGGATTATTATTATTATTATCCTGTAATTGTATCTGATTAAACCATTAATACATAGAGTTACTAATATACAATCCCAATAAGACAAAAACAAATTAAAGATGGAATAGCACTTTGTTTTGTAATCAAAGAAAGGTTTCAGGGTGATTCGATTCAGCAGATAACAGCTGTTTCACCAGAAGTCTGAGCTCATTTTACAACCAATCGGTGTTAAAGTGAGACATACTGAGTTACTATTGTGTTTGTCAGTGCAGTTGGTATGGAAAGAAATCATAGTTACTGTATATAATGAATTTGCTTTCTTGCTGACTTCTGATGATTTCCTAATTGACAGATATTTTATGTTACATTTATATTAAATTGATGGACAGATATGTTGCTTTGTTTAATGCCTATAAACCTTTTGAAGGAATAAGGTGATATTGTAATTTTTTAAAGTGAGGAATGTGGTAACTGTGATACTTTTCCATTTTTGGCATTGTATCAGTAATGAATTGGGTGATGCAAATTACTGATCCAAGTAAAGCTTCCTCTCTTCCACATAAACAATACACCTTCATCTCACTTCAGAAGATCACTTTTATTGCAGCATGATGTGCTCGCCCTGCACTGCAGTGGAGTATCACAGCCTTGACTTTGAGTTCAAAGATGTCAGCTGGTAGCACTTTCACCTTTGAGTGAGAGGTTGTGGGTTCAGCCCCATGATGAGACTTTGAACTCACATAGTCGAGGCTGACACGCATTGTGGTGCTGAGGGAGTGCTACAGAGGCCCTACATTTAATTTATTACTAAAAATCGAAAGGTTTGATTTTACACACAGAGTGTTATTAGCACATGGAATGCCCTACTAATAATGGTAATGCTAACGGAGTTCATAATCATTTTAAAAAAGAAATAAGGCAAATTTCTGATAATGCAAAATATGAAAGGGTATGGGGAGTGGGACCAAACAGATAGATCTTTCAGACAGTCAACATAGACACGAAGGGCCAAATGGAATCCTTATTTGTTTTTAAAATTGAATGGGAATTTCCTTAACTCATTCACTAGTAATCATAATATATATTTATTGCTTCTATTTATTTACCCCAAAATGCTCATTTTAAAATGTTTTATATGTAATTATAGGCCCGGTGAATTACATAGATAGCGATTTAGATGAATTCTGCAAGAAACTAGTACAGCTTTAGTTACTTAAATATCGTGCTAAAAGAATAATTTGATTCTGCTAGAAAACAATCCAAAATTAAAGAAATCATAGTTCTATAAGAAATTACTATTAATTGTTAGGTACCGTACTGACCCACTTTCAAGCACTTTTTTCTATGTTAATAAATATTTACGTTTAGAGGGATACTCTGCAGTGTCCAGTATGCAATGAATGTAGTACCTAATCAGCAGACAATGGGTACTAGAAAAAGCCTCTCATTTGTCTTGGACGAGATGATTTGCTTCAATCAGGGTTCTGGATAAAGAGAGGTTTGGATGAAGAAGGCCATTTGATCTCATCTTTCCAGAATAATTATATTAATCCTTGCATTTCATATGTCACCTTAGCACATTGTCAATGACGCAAAGGCTTCACAGGATTTATTGTAGAGTGTAGTGATTGTGTATTTTGTAGGTGAACACTCACCCATGCACAGCAACCTGACCTCAACCATCCTTCTGGTAACCTGTTCGAGTCATTAATTGCCCTCTGTGTAAAGAAATATTGTACTTCCTTGTGTCTATCCTAAAATTGCCCTTTCCAACCCTAAATCTGTGGCCTTTTGTTCTCCTGTTGCACTCCGAGATGCTGCCCCGCGTGAAAGGCGCTATATAAATGCAAGTTGTTGTTCCATATGAAAATATGACTTTCTCAATCCCATTTAAAATCTTATATATAATCAAATTTGGTTGAAAATATGGGTCTCTTTGACTGGTGTAAATTTAACTTTTTTTTGCTTCTTTTTTGTGTGAAATAACAGTTTGCATTCCTATGGTGTCCTTCACTTAGGATTATTTCAAAGTTTCAAAGTGCTTCATGGTCGGATGGGGTCGGAAGTCGAGACATGGAAGGGGGAGGTGACAAGAACAACAACAAATTACATTTGATAGCCTTTTAACCGAGAGGACGTCTCAAAGTGTGGTAGAGAGAGTAGGTTATAAGATGGGACTTGAAGAAAGATTGAGTGTCTGAATGGTAAACAGAGGGATTTTCAGATGTTAGGGACATAGAATTTGAAAGCTCAGATGCCGATTGTGGGGTGGAGAAGACGAGAGGATACACAATAAACCTGAGATAACCAAGCAACAACAACAACAACTTGGATTTATGTAGCGCCCTCTACGCTGGACGGCGTCTCAGAGCGCTTTACAGTAACGGATCCCGGGGCTGAGCCAGGGGGAGGGGGAGGAAGGTAACCAAAGGCACGGTCGTAGAGAAAGGTCTTCAGCAGAGACCTGAAAATAGGAAGAGAGGGAGCGAGGCACAGGGAGTGAGGAAGAGAGTTTCAGAGCCTCGGGGAGTAGTAGCTGAAGGCACGGCCACCGAGGGTGGAGCGGAGGACTCGCAGGACAAGGAGGAGGCCAGACCCGGAGGAATGAAGGCAACGGGTACTGTTTTGAGGAGAGAGGAGGTCAGAAAGGTAGGGGGTTGCAGAAGAGTAGAGGGATTTGAATACAAGGGTGAGGATCTTGAAGTCGATCCTCTCTGGGACAGGCAGCCAGTGCAGTCTGGCAAGGATGAAAAGAAGTCCATGACCTCCTCACAGTTGGCATTTGATATGCAGATTGAGGAGGCCTGAGGAGGGGCACGGAGGAGGTAGTGGGTGGTGGGAAAAAGGATTTTAGGGTTGTGTTTAGCCTCCAAGATGATGTTGGAGTAGAAGGCCGTTTTTGCGCGTGTCAAGGAACGGCGGTAGCTGTGGA